CTGCTCCACACTGCCCATCACCTCTGCTCAGCTCAGGTTCCCACCCAGGGCTTCCAACCAGATCACCAAGCCACACTAAAAGCAGCCAGCTCGCAAAACCAGCTCTCAGCTCTAGCCACTCCACCCTCAGAGTCCAAAGCCCAGCTAGGCTGCCTTCTGCAAACAAAAGGAGAATTCACTCCATCTATTTATAAGCTGCTTATTCACAGCTTGCAAGCACAAATTCTTTTCAGATGAGGAGCTCGGGGGAAGAGATTATGCTTTTTCTGGTTCTATGTTGCACAAAGCCCAGCACCCAGGCTCAGTCTTTCCTTCACCACCTGAGGTTTGTCTCTTTCTTTCAGCTCTCACACCTAATCTCGTGGCTGTTTTGCTCACCAACACACGGAGTGTGATGCAACCCACTCCCGTGCCATCCCGAGAAGGCAGGTTCTCTGACAGGGCCAGACATGTGCCAGGTGAATTCTGGTTCAACCAGAATAAAGCGTCTTTATATTAATATAAAATGTTTCTATCTTCTTTACTCCACTTCTGACTCAGGGCATATCTATGGGACAAAAGGCATCACTGGACACTTTGTCTAGGCGAGAGTTCTCAGCTCTTGGCTATGCTGGAAGAGCAGCAATAATGAGAACAACAGTGGAAAATGTCTGGCTAAAGCCCAAGTTAAATGTCTCCCTGCCTTGCTGCCCAGCCCTGCTTTAGTAAGAGCTCCCATTGCTGCTGCCAGGCTTATGGCAGCTTCTCCAGGCTTGTGATGGAAGGGTCGGAGAAGTTTTCGGAATCCACCACAAAATAAGAAAAGTCCATCTTCCACAGTGGACTTCAGGAGTGGCCTGCAAGCCACGGGGTGGCTGATCAATAATACACTAGATAGCCAGAAGCCAAAGACATGCCCACTCGCCAACTCCAGGTAACTTATAAAAAGACTGTGCTTATTAAAAATTTCCTGTCCAAAAGTGCCAAACTAAGTGCTAACAGCATGAAAGTGCTGGATGTCTCTGTGGCACCTGTCCACACTTACCGCCAGGAAATTCAGCTTGGCCAAAAGCTCTGCCAGGAAGACTGGGACAGCAAAACCTGGAAGCTTTCAGCTAACAGATCCAGAGAAGCACGGAGCCTTCAGAGCAGCAGATGGTGTGAAGGCAGACACGCTGGCTTTTGAGCCAGCCAGCTCCACCAACAATGAATAAGTGGCAATGCCACCTTCAGCAGTCCACCTGCACCTTTGGGTGGCCAGCCTGCACCAAAGCAGTCATTACAGCCCATCAAGTGGCATCTCAAAGATACTGGCTCATCAGTACCACACCCATGCAACTCTGGGTCAAATTCAGAGGGACCTGGACAAGCTGGAGAAGTTGTCCCACGTGAATGTCATGAGGTTCAACAAGGCCAAGTGCAAGGTCCTGTCCCTGGGTCAGGGTAACTCCCAGTTATCAGCCCAGGCTGAAGGTGAAGGGCTGGAGAGCAGCCATGGGGAGAAGGACCTGGGGGTGCTGGGGGTGAGGAGCTGGCCAGAAGCTGGTCTGGAGAGCCCCGCCTGCAGTGCTGGGGCAGCTCTGGAGTCCTCAGCACAGCAGAGACAGGGACCTGCTGGAGCAGGACCAGAGGAGCCCCAGCAATGACCCGAGGGGGGAACCCCTCTGCTGGGAGCCCAGCAGGAGAGAGTTGGGCTTGGGCAGCTGCAGAGGAGAAGGCTCCAGCTGGGGAGACCTTCTGGGGGCCTGTCAGTATCTGAAAGGGGGCCTACAAGAAATCTGGGGAGGGACTTGCACTAGAAACTTGAAAGGGGACATTGAGAGTAGAGAGAAGGAAGAAATGTTTGACACCGAGCGTGGTGAGACCCTGGCACAGGTTGCCCAGAGAGGTGGTCGCTGCCCCATCCCTGGAACCATTCCAGGTGAGGTTGGCTGGGGCTCTGAGCAACCTGCTCTAGCTGCAGATGTCCCTGCTCCCTGCAAGGGGTTGCACAGGATGGCCTTGAAAGATCCCTTCCCACCCAAACCAGCCTGGGATTCTACGATTCCTAGGGGTGGGATAGCAGTGTGGGACCAGCTGAGGACACCAGATCCCATTAGCCAACTCCCTGTGATGGGCTGCCTCCAGGACTCATATTGTGGTAACAGAGCTCCTCCTCTCTAAGCTGGGAAAAGACCAAGACCCAGAAAGTCTGCTTGGAGAAGTCTTTCTTCCCCTTGGTGGATAAGCAGCTGGATGGGCAAAGCTATCTTTTACACCTTTTACATCTCTTTGGAGAAACAAGTGTGGAGACAACTGGTCAGCTCACACTGGGAGCAGAGAGTGAGTGGAGTCAGTGGTCAAAGCCATTGCTACAGCACCTCTCAGGATGGGATCATGCAGGGGGGACTCCTTAAAGCCCATCAGAGAAACAAATGGAAGTACCACAAGGCACCTCTCCTGCATTACCACATCTGATGGGACAAGTTCAGCTCCTGCAGGAGAAGAGCTGCACAGCTGGCTTAGCAAACCTTCACAAAGCCTGGGACAGACCTAAGCAGCAACAAGACCCCACTGCTCCAAGCCACAAAACGCTCTACAGAACATCTTGGCTCTGCAGGAGGGCAGGGAAGTGTGCCAAAACTAGCCCCAAGGGAAGAGCTTCCTTCCTGAAGAAAGACCAAAGCAAGCCTTGTCTGCTGCATGCTCCCAAGAGGTACTTGGCAGATGACAGAAGAAGTAGAAGCCATCTCCCTCGCCTGTTGTTGCAGACTGCCTCTAACTGCAGCCAAATGCTCTCAGATGGCTTTGTCCATCTCTAGTCTCACCACCTCCTGGGATTCTTTCTGCCACCTGAAGCCACAAACATAGCAAGAAAGTCAGCTGCAAAAGCTGGCAAAATATATCCCCTGCAAAAAAAAAAGCAAGTCAGTCCCACAGCCTGTCCAACCCCAAGGGGATGGGCTCATCTTCTTTATGCCTCTTAAGCAAAATCAGTTTTTACCTTTAGTTTTGCACTTTTGATTGGCATGTTTTAATTAAGTGGAGCTAAGAGTCCAGAAAACTACACTCAAAATTTTGTCCTCTGCTTATGTGAAATTCTTGCACATTTTGACAGGTACCTCACCTTCTGACCAAGAAATCCCAGCAGTCATGACTCTCTGCCTGATCAGGCTTTTGCACCACAAGAGAAAAGAAAAAACTGAAACAATGGGACAAGGTGATTACACAAGAGCCAAAGCACAGCTCAGAGGGGTAAAGCCACTTGACTGGCTTCTGTAAATAATTTGATTTCAAGTATTATCGGAGTGGGTGTGGAATTAAAGACTGTTAAGCATTGATCAAGATTTTACAGCTCTGCTCAGAAAAGCAGTACGACAGGCCCTGCTGAGTGCAGGGACACAACCAGTCCTGTCCCACTTTCACATGTCACCAGTCAGAAAAAAAAAACACTAATATTTGGCCCACACACATCAATAGCCACTCCAAACGTTTTTGTCCCTAGCCTACTTTGATCTTAATGAAAGAAGCCTTTGAAAATCACAACACAGGAGCCTTTACAGGGCTAGCAGGGCTCAGAACTTTTAATATCTGCACACCAGTTTGGAGAGCAGGAGCAAGAGTGGAGTGGTGGAGGATCTAAAACCAACAGTGCCTTATACACAGCCTTGGCAGGCACTCAAACCCTGTGCAGTCAGGGGATGATGTTGTGTAGCCCCTGCCCTTGCTAAGGTAACCAAAGCAGTAAATTATCCCAAGGGGCTTTGCCAGATCAGGTTTCAAAGTTGATCATTTCCCGGCACAAGAACAGGAGCTTAGCTTAAAACCAAACCAAAACACAAAAAGCTCACACATTCTCCCCATTCTCCTCGGGCTCTAAAGTTGCTGTGTGTTGCTTAAAATAAAATTAGATTTATAAAAACAAGCAAACGACAACAAAAAAAACCAAACAAACTGAAACAGAAACTGAACCTGCATTGTATGCGATTCTCACAGCAGGTCAGAAGGGAAAGGTTCTACTGTCCTATTTCTACCCAAAATTGCCTGAAGAGTGCTTCACCAGTTCAGTGAGAGAACCCAGGAGCTGCCAGGAGCTGCTGCCGGTGGGGAAGAGGCTGGTTACATGGCTCACCTCTCACTCCTACCACAATGCTGACCCCATCTCCCAGGGACAGGGAGTGACTCGCTGAATTTTCAAAGAGAAACGTCAATTTTTTTCCCCAGCGTTTGGCTGAGACACCCCTGCAACCGATTTTGTTATCTTCTCTCCACCCCCCCACCCCCCCTCAAAGCTCCCGATGGCGGCAGAGAGTTTACACCAGAGCAAGGCTGCTGCTGCTGGGAACCGTTCCCTGCCACCCGCGCTTCTCCTGTGCCAGGGCGGGAAGCTCCCGGGTGCCAGCCCGGGAAGACCTGGCTGTTTGCACAGCACGTAGCACCGAGGCCTCCCCAGGCTGCAAGGTGTCTGAACAGCACCAACAGGAGTTGAGCAATGCCCCGGGGCGGGGTGAGGGCTTCAATCAGCCAGGCTCTCCCACTGCCCGCTTCTCAAACGGGCGGGCAGGGATTTGGCTGCGCAAACTGTACCAGCGTGTGAGGAGCTCGGAGCTCACTTCAGGCAGGAAGGATTCCTCACAGGAAGGTCCCTGGAAATCCCCTTGTGCAAGGAGCACCTTGGGAAATCACGCAGCGATAACGGCCTGGACCTAAACATTCAGCACCCGCATCGACACTGGAGGCTTGTGGTTTAGAGGCACACAAAACATCCAGCCCTCTCTCCACCACAGAAGATAAGTCTGATTTGGCTTGGAAAAGGAACTGGAACCATCAAAGTGAATCCACCCACACAAGTTCTTGGACCGGGGAAGAGTTGGTGTAAGAGCAGCATTCATCAGGCTCTCCACCTTTTCTGTGTTCCACACAAGTCCTCCCTCCGTGTAGCTGCTCTCTGGCCTGCACCAGTGATGGGTCATCTCACAGAACCTCCCAGTGCCAGCTTTCTACTCACCTCCACCCCCTCTTCTCCCACTCTTGGGGCTCACCTGTAGTCATGGGTGAGGGTGACACAAGACTCCTCCTTCCTCAGCCTGGCCAGGAGCGCTCCCCCCTCCAGCTGCAGCCTGACCAGCCGGGTGTCTTCCAGAACGTTCTTCATCAGCTGCCTGTAAGTCCTCAGCAGCACAGCTGCCTCCTGGAGGGATCACAAGGGCGAGACCAGCGGTTACTGCAAGCTACAGGCAACCAGGGAACAGGCGAAAACCGGCAGCCAACCCAAAACACACGCACAAACCACATCTCACCTTGTCCCACCCCAGGGAAGAGGGAGGTTGGTTCCCACAGTTGTTTCTCTCCAGCCTGCCAAGTCCAAAGCGATAAACACCACTCCTTACGCTCCCCACACTTCCCCCATCAGGCTAAAATTGAAAACAGCTCCTATCACTGTCCCCACTCCCTTTGCTGGGCAGAGGGAGAAGCAGCTTTCCAGCCTCACCTTCCACTGACAGCCTCCTCCAGCTCCCAGAGTCGGGACCCACATGGCCTCAAGCTGTGGGACAAGGTGCACGTGAGGGTTTGTGGATACACACACACACATGGAAGAAGGCCCAGAGAGGCCATTATGGTATCTCCTTCCATTGTTTTACTGTCGGGACCCTCAGTGCAAAGCTGACAGCAGCTTCCAACCATGTTTTCCTACCAAACTTCTGTTCTAGAGGCAGCAAAACTAGAACCACAGAACAGCCTTGGCCTGGTGATCACTGTATTGTCACCTATTATGGGCCATCCAAGGCACCAGCCTGAGGCAGCTGCTTGGTACCAGAGACAAGCAAGCTACCAGCTACAGAGCTGTGGAGCTGCTGAGAACACATTCCAATGCTGGAGCAAGCACTCAGCAGCAGCAAGCACAGCTGAGTGACGCCAAGGGACCAGAGAACCAGCTTCTGCACCCAGTGGAGGCTCTACCACCTCATTTGGATGAGCTTCTACTAGTCCTACAGCTCTGACATCTCCACAGCTATGCACAGCACTCAGAATATGCTGCTACTACAGGTTGGGAATTCAGAGCTACAGCTTTTCTGTCTCAGGACAATCTTTGGGAGGGAAAAAAAAAAAAAAAAAAAAAAAAGAGTTAGGAACTTCTCCTATCATGCCAGGCTGAGATTTTGGGTTGTTCAGCCTGGAGAAGGTTCCAGAGAGATGATCTTGTAGCCTTCCAGTACTTCAAGGGGCCTGTCAGAAAGCTGGGACAGACTTTTGAGCGGGGCCTGTTGGAACAGGACAAGGGGGGATGGTTTGAAACTAGAAGAGGGAGATTTAAACTAGAGAGAAAGAAGAAATATTTTAAAGCAAGAGCGGTGAATGCACTGGCTCAGGCTACCCAGAGAGGTGGTGGATGTCCCATCCCTGGAACCATTCCAGGTGAGGTTGGCCAGGGCTCTGAGCAACCTGCTTTAGTTGCAGATGTCCCTGCTCCCTGCAGGGGGGTTGGACTGGATGGCCTTGAAAGCTCCCTTCCCACCCAAACCATTCCAGGATCCTATGACACACTTACCTCAGCTCTTTCTGGTAATTTTCCGGATTCCACTTTATGAATAGCTCCCTGGAGGAAGGCACATGCACCTTGGCATCCCTGTAGCAAGTGTTCCAGCTTCTGCAAAAAGAAAGGACCAAGGCAGAGATCATGGTCTTGCAGCTGATGGGCAAACTGTCTTCTCAGCTTACAGGTTAGAAGGACAGAAATCAAGAAAGGCTCAAATCAATCACACTAACCCAAGGGTTCAATGATACCATTTGGTGAGTCTGTATCAGTGAAGGGAGGCCCATCAGAGGCTTCAGACATACCACACCATACCAAGGTCTCTAGGAAGACCTTATGAACTGTTATGCCCATGGTTTGTATAGGTCATGCTTTGCAGAAAAGAAAACCAGTCCCACCTCTGTCCCACATTCTTCTGCTATGAGCATTTCTTGTAACTTCCCATTAAGATGAATCATTACATGTAGTTTAGTGATTTGAGGAACAAAATGAGGAATGAGTACTTGGAATCTCTCCTACTTAAAGTAATTTTATTAAATCATTAAAAGTAGTGTAAATTATTAAGAAAGGAAACTGGAAAGTTTCCACAAGTAGGCACCTTGAACTAGATGCCCCAACACTGGATGTGTTCAAGACCAGGCTGGATGGGGTTTGAGCAATGGTATAGTGGGAGGTGTCCCTGCTCACTGCAGATGGGTGGAACTTGATAGTCTTTAAGACAAATCATTCTATGCCTCTGTGATCCCACTCAGAAATCTCAAGTCCCTCCATCTCTTCAGGAAGGGAAGGGAAGACAAAAAAAAGAAAAAAACACACAAAAAAAACCCCACACACAGAAAAAACACACATACAAAAAAAAAACAAAAAAAAAAAAAAACCAACAACAAACCAACAACCAAGGGCTCCAGAAACCCCCCAAACATTTCACAGGGGTTCAGCATTTTTTAGAAAAGTCAGTGATATAAAGCTTAAATGCTGTCAGATGCCACCCTCTAGCCACTGAAACCAGAGAAGAGAGAAGCAGCTATTCCAAAACAACCACGCTCACAACAAAACAAAAAAGCAGCTGTTTGAATCTTTACTGAACAGCCCCCCAGCCCTGGAGTGTTGGAACAGCCCCAGCAGTGACACATGAGCAGACAGGATGCAGGTGAGAGCACCCAGATGGAAAGAAACCGTTTGCCACATAGCTGCAGATCTAAAAGGGGCTGAGCCTCTGGGTCATGCTCACACACAGCACATTGTATAAACAGGCAGCTCAGACAGATCGAGTCCTGCACTAAACCCCTTTGGCAACATTTTGCACGTTAAGGTGCAAGACACAAACGAGAAGCAGTCGGGTACTGTGCTCCTTCCTTCAGGAATTATCCTTCTGCACAGACAGAGCAGCTCAGCTCTCAAACTTTTCTCAGCTCTGCCCAGAAAACATCCATAATCTCCCACAAAGCTTCTCTGCTTCCTTGCTGCCAAAGAAACCTCCAATTCAATCCTAGACACCAAGATTAGGCTTCTGGACCTTCACTGCATTAGCATGGTGTCATACTAGTACTGGATGCAAGTGTAAAAAATGGGCTCTAAAATAATTTGGGAAGGGTAAGTTAACATTTGGTACATGCTAAGCCACATTACTGCTGAAACTTGTGACCAGCATGAGTCAAACTCAACATGAAGACAGCCAATTTTTGTGCAGATTTACAGGAATTTACTCCTGCCTAGTTTCAGTGTGCCAAACATCTCTCAAAAGAGCTTTTAAAGATTCAATAAGATCTGCAGGACTTACAGTCCCTCCACAGCACAATGGACGATGGAGCTCACACTGAGCTGGACTTTGGGGCTATACATGCTACTTTGGCAGTAGCACAGCCCATCAGTGTGGCTGCAGCCTCCTCAGCAGTGCCTGCAGCACCCTTTGCCAGGCCTACCCACTTTATAAATGCTGTTTAGGTGTTGCAGTTTCAGCCCTTCTACCTCTGAGGCTTAACCTGGATCAGCTCAAACACTTCCACAGAGCAGTCAGCCTCCCTGCACCACAGGCTGGCTCTGGTCCGTGCCCAGGCACGGTTTGCTGCAGACCTCTTGATCCATAGCTCTTTTGGAGACAAGCACAGAGGTCAGACAGGACTGTGGGACCAAGACACATTCAAAGCAGAACAACAAGGAGAAGGGACCTAGTGCTGGCACTGTCTCCTACTGAAGGGATGCACTTAGAGGCACTGTCACTGAAGGGAGTCTGCGTGGAGAAGCTTTCGTCTCCTCACCTCATGTGGCCAGCTCTCAAAGAGGCATAAAACACTCCCCCAGGCTTAACCTTCTCTGTAGCTTTAGTTTAGATGCTTTCTAAAGAGCTCCTGATGATAACTTTGCTGAATAAGTGAATTACATCTAAAGGAGGAAAAAGATGTTCCTAGAAGTATCTGAACTGGTTATCAGGAACTCCCAAGTTACACTCCAAGGGCTGCAGTTTTTACTAAGGGGCTCTCAGCTTGGTCTGGGGAACCTGCTCCAAGCCCAACAAGATCTAACTACTTTTATTATGCTCAAGTTCTCGATAGTTGGTTCAATGGCAACATGATACTAAGAGATTAGTTTAAGAAGTGCCTGCACTTAAGCCTCCAAGTATAACCAAAGAGAAGTGCTACTGTATATCAAAACAAACCAGGATTCTGTTTCAGATTGGACCACATTTTAAAGGGAAGGAAGAATTAATGCAGCTCAAGCAGATTAATTAAGCTCCAATTTTAGTTCCTGCAGTTACACCAACAGGCCACAGTGTGCATCCATTTTATGAAGACAATACTAAAATTATTTTGATACAAGAACCATTTGCATACATAGCTATTACAGGAACCACTGTCTTTAAGTGCTTGGAGGCTCAGCTGTGGACAGGCTCCTCTTGCTTCAGCTCCATTGCCACGCCGTTTTTCCTCACGGCTACAAAGGACACAAGATGTCCTTGGTTCTACTCACCATGCGGAAGCTGAGCCAGTCCCGGTGGCAGTAAGGGAAGGTCCCATCCAGTTCTAGAGGCAGCTGCGAGCTGTCTATGTGCTTATGGAGGGACTTCATGGAGGTGAGAAGTTCAAACTGCACAGGAACAGAAGAAATAAAAACACATTTTTGTTAGGGTGCGAGCAGTGGAGGAGGAGGGGAAGGTTGACAACGGACAGCATCCTTTATTTCTTTATTAGCTCACATAGAAACAGGGCACGCAGCATATACCTGCAAGATCACGACGATATGCAGGAAAACAAAACTCAATTGAGCCTTTGAGCAGCTTGCTGTAGAGCTCAGTGGGCGAGCCCCGCGGGAACGCAGGCCACAACACGCTGCCTCACCGAGCAGAACATCTGCGATGGAAGTCTGGCAGCAGGCAGCCTTCCCCAGAGCCAGTACCTCCCAGTATAAGCAGAGCTACTCCCTCATATTGTTCCCACGTTGGGCTGCAATTTGCATTGGTTGGCCAGCCCAAGAGGTTAAATCCAGCCCCCAGCTTCCTCATCCCACTTCCTGGAAAACAGTCTAACAGAGCAGCCGCTGCCCTACCCTTGACTCCCCACTCATCACAGCAGCTATCTGCTCCAAGTGTTTCCTGGAGCTTGACACAGATAACTTGCTTTCTCCGGCTCTGCAGGACCTCAGAGAACTTTTAGACTCACCAAAGAAAGAGACAAGTGCTCCTGCAGGTACCTGGAAGCTAGCCCAGACACCAGGAACTCAGGTGCAGATATTCGATCCCCCACAGACACATTGTGAAGTTTCCACCTCCATTACAAAATAGTGATGATGCTTCCAATAACATGCCCGTGTCTTTATGAGCCATTGCTCTGTTCTCTCCTACACCCTTTGGATTTGTTCAGTGTGTTTAATGTCTCCTGGAGCTCTCGGAGCTCTCCCTCTATGCACGACATCTCAGCCCCCTTTCTCATTGCAAACCCTTCCATGTGGGGACAGTGAGGAAATGGACTAATAGCATTTGCTGTTCTTTAGCCCTTTGGGGCAGCAGCCCCCACCCACAGCAAACCTGCTGCTAGCCCTGATGTCTTCATTCACAGGAGCCAAACGGGAGGTCCTGGCCTCCTCTGAAATCTCCAGGGTTTCCATGTTCCCAAGAATCCCCCTGTGTCTTGAAGGCCCCAGCAGACTGATAGAATTATGGTGTAAACGTCACCGATGGACTCGGCAACAAATGGAGCACAACAGAGGGTTGTTCTGCTCGCATCAACTTTACAACCCTATAAATGCCACACCCGTAAGAGACCACGACCATAAAATACAAACATTTCATGTGAGAATAAACATGCCTCAGTGGCCAGAGAACTCGCTGCTCAGAGAGTTAAATAAAGGGTTTTGAGAGCTCCCCAGCAAGCCCTGGATGAGTGGTCCCATTACCTGTCCCGCTGGGGGCTTCTCCATCCGAAAAGTCACATCCCTCTCCACCAGCAGCAGTACTCCATGGATACAGTGAGGATCTAAGTCCTACAACAGAACAGAGTGCAAGCCCATTACCGATCCACCTGGGATGCTAAGGGGAAGGTATCACAGCAGGTTTGTGCAGGAGATTATAGCTTATCCTTTTCAAAGGGATTTAGGAAGCCTGGAAGGAGGTCCACCAGGCATAGGGAAGGCTCCAGAGCACCAGGGCTCTCTCTTTAAGGTAGTTTGCTTCAGATCAACTAGTCCTGTAGTATTTAAAGAAGCAATGAAAGAGGTCAGGTCTTGGCTGTACTAAAACAACTCTACACAGGGGGAAAGAAAAAAGAAAAAACATTTTTCAATGTCCAAGTTTTTTCTTGATAACTTCCCTGGTTACCTCTAACTGAAAGGAATTTGGTTTCCCCCCTCCTCAAAGTGCCAAAAACGTCATCTTGTCTTTACTTACTGCCACCTTGTAATCAAGGACTTATATCCTGTCACTACTGTTAAGCCAACAAATTCCAACTACAAGGGATGTCTGGCAGCTGTGGTTCAAGCTCCGTGATCCAGCAGCAGCTCACCAGTTACAAAAGGACTCTACAGGGAAGGGAGAGACAGGCACAGAGAGCAACAGCAGTAAAGGGGAAACCCAGCAGAAGGATCCAGACCATGGAGACAGGACCTGCTATACACACAGAGCAGGATCACAAGAGCAGACATTTAAGGCAGTTAAGTAAGAGCCAACCCATCTAGATGTCTCCTAGATAGTCTTTGTCTCAGCAAAGAAACTGTCAAGCAATAAATCCTTTCTGGTATCATTCGGGCTGCGAGGAACCTGCCGCACAGCAGATCACGGCAGCAGGGAATCCTGTTTAAGTACATGGCTCCAGCAGTGTTTGGGGTTGAAGGTCCAACAGGAGCAGCATAGCAAGAGCAGAGAGGCAAGTGGACCAGCAGAGACAGAGCCACCTAACCTGACTCTGGGCCCAGCACAGCAATTATGAAACAATGTCAGCACAAGGAGACTCAACTCTGCAACTGAAAGCAGAGGCAGAGGTTCCAGAGCAGAGAAAAAGGCCTTTCACTCCAAGTCTTAAACCAGGATCCTTTTGAAGAGGCAGGAAAAAAACCTCATCTGAAACACTTTCCAAAACCCTGAGAGGTTTCTGACGCTTCTCAAATCCCTTTCTCCAAAGTGAATTATTCACACTTTCACTGTTTGAACACTGGTCAAAAGGCCAAAAAGAATTCATTGGGTAATTAGGTGGGATTAGGTAAACACTGCAGCTCATCTGGAGAGAGGACGGAGAAGTATTACAGCTCTACCAGCAGCTTGGAATTTGCTGAAAAGCACCAATAGATGAAGACTAGTCAGTTTCAAGACAGATCATGGCACTGAAGAAATCTCTTCTTTCACAACCCCTCTTCTACTCCAGCAGCCAGGCGATGTGCAATCTGAGTGAGGGATAAAGGTAGTGATGGTGTAACACGAGGTTACAACAGCCGCCAAAATACTCACGTGCTTGTTTGTTACTCCTGAAAATAGAAACTGAAAAACCATTCACAAATAAACCTGTCAGGGGAGAAGTTCAGAGTTTTCCAATCCCAAAAGAAGTAATAATTCCAAAGAAATCAATTATTCTTCCAGCACTGACAGAGCAATCCAAACTAGGACAGTTTACAGGAGCACCTCAGGAGACAGGCAGAGCTGGAAGCAGCAGGACGCTACTTGAGGAAGTTTTCCTGCAGCTTTCTGCACAACCTCTTACAACCTTTGTTAACAAAACCAACACTGGGAGCAAAGAAGCAGAGTCCTACACGATGTAAGCAAATTCCTCACCTCCCAAAACAGGCACAGTGTGGACAGTGTAGAACAGAGGGGCATCAGCAGGAGCTCAGAAAGCACCACAGTAAATATCCATCCTTCTATTATTATTCTCTAAAAAACGAATTAGATACTTCTGCCTTTCTCAGACTGAAGTTTCAAACAGCCTTCTGGCTTCCTGACCCCAATGGAAGCCCATGGCCAGATTTAATGTCACTGGCAGAGTGCAAAACCCAGGCTGCCAGGAACGCCTGTGCAGATAGGACAGTCCCCAGAGACCATCTTCAATGTCAAAGCGCCTGCTTCTAAAGGAGCAGTGCAAGGTCCCTGAACTTCACCATCAGACCAAGGTCCTCTAGACTAGACAGAGGAACTGACAGTCTCCCAGTGCTGCAGAGAAAGCCACCTGCTAGCACCAAAAGTTGTCCAGTAGCACTTAAAAACTCATTTGCACACTTATTCTGTGAAGATGGAAGAGTGAAGTAAGTACTTCCTCAGATGGACAGATCAGCGTCCTCCCTCGCTGGGAAGGTCCTCTAGGGTTAACAGATCTGAGCAGTGCAGCAGGAAGGGACTCTGCATTAGGTCACCACCGGATCTGTGCTCACCCACCGTGCAGCAGCAAAGCTGGTGCTCCTCACTGCTCAGGAGGAAAACGGCCCTTCGAAACCAAGCAAGCAACACTGGATCTCAGCATCTGAAAAGTCTGCCCACACTACCACACCAGGCTTCACAAAAGCCCTGTGAAATAAAACCCCGTTGAAACGGGGAGCAGAACAGCAGAGAAATGAGCTCCAGAGACAGTCTGCCACAGGTAAGAGACGCCGGGAGAGGTGTTGGGGGTTTCAGAGAGGACCTCAAGGAGAGGATCTGTGATCTTACAAACACAACATACACCCTGTGCTTCTTCATCCAACAGGCAGCAAAACTCACCCTGCTCTAGAAAGCCCAGCTTGCCCCTAGTAACAGTTTCCTGTGTTTCTCTGTCCTTGCTGCACAGCAGACCAGTGCTGCTGTGGAACCACAAAAAGTAAATGCTGTGGAACTCCAAAAGGGTGATAGGGGCCAGGGGGTTATTCCTGTGCCATATCCAGATGATGAGCTAGCTGAATGGGTCATGTTCATGGAGTCTGCAGAAGAGTCAGGGCAAGGACCGAAAACCACAGGCAGAGTAAATCAGCCTGTCAGTCCCTGGTACCTGGAGCACACGGGCAACTCCAGCAATCTGTCTTGCAGTGCATTAATCCCTGTTAACTGTTGCACCACCCTGATAATGAGGTGCTCAGAGCCAAACAGCCAGCATAGCAGGATATTACACAGGTCCTGCAAAAAAATCCCCTCCTGTCTCCTCTTTTCAGAGGGTAGGAAACTTCAGGTTAGAATGGCTTTATTCCTGCCATGCTTGTACAAGACCAGGGACCCAAAAAGCACATTGTGTCTCAGCTCGTTGCAAATTTCCAAATCATCCCACTAAGGCAAAACCACACAACTTAGATGGGCAATGAAATGCTCAAAAGCTTTAGCAAGCCTAAAATTCTCATAAAAGAGAAGATAACTTGCTCGTTCCCTCTGCAGAACAGAGCAGGCCAGCAGATCACTTCTTCACCACAGAGAAGGAGCTCACTGATAGAGCTCCCAGCTCCACCCAGCCCAGGAAGCAGGAGGACAGACCTCTGACTCAGCCCCAGCCCTCAGATGTGGCACCAAAGCACATAAACCACAGAGACACCAGCTTCATTAAAACATTACCCTGCTCCAGTTTGCAGAGTTTGAGTCCAGAGACACCTAAGCTTGGATTTAAAAGGAACACCTGCTTAGACAAGATTAGTCATCACCACAGCCCAGCATCTCCTCAGCTTTCTAACAGCAGCAGGCAGCTTCGATCTGGGAGTAGGGGCGACACAACCCACCTGCTTTCCAAGGGACCGATAGGAAGGCCTTTGCCCTGAAGTGACAGAGTTACAGCACCTCCCATTCCTATCCCTTGCTGACAGCCCCATCAGGTGCTGCAGGTGCTCTTTCAGCCGGCAGGACATGCAGGTCCCTCCCCTCTGCCTCCGGCAGAGGACTCTCTTCCTCCCTTCTCCGTGGTGGGAGGAAATCCCTGCGGCTTCACACAGCCCCTCAGTGCAAGGGACATCACCTCCAAGCACGGTCATCCATCACAGTTCAGACTTGGGTACAGGCTGTTCTCAGCTCAGAGGTGGAAGCATCTTGGAGGGGTGGGGAGGGGTGTTCTACCCTAACTCAGACTCGCTTTGGGTTTTTTTGCTTTGTCTGCAGTCTGGCAAGTCCAGGTCATCCTCCTAAAACAGGGCTGGGTGCAGAACTCCACCCCCCAAAGCCAGCTGAAAGCCAGGTGGCAGATGGAGACGCAGGCAGCAGATGGGGACGAGCCACCCGAGCGAGGCAGGCGGTGTCCCTGCGCCCAGGCTCCAGGCTCACCTGCAAGATGCTGAATGCCTTGAAGAGAGCAGGGACTGGTGAACAGCGACGAGCATCCACGAGGACAGTCAGACCCAACGCCTGGCATTCTGGTCTGCAGAGACAGAAACAGAGGTTGCGTTCATCACCAATGGGAATCGACAAGACTATGGAAGCAGAATCCACGCCATGACAGGGTGTAAAGCCCAGCACGTTGTGGCTCTGTAAGGACAGGAGGCTAACTGACCACCTTTTCCTAACCAAAGCATACACATGGAAACCACCACCTGGACTGGTCGGTTTTTACTCCTGCTATTTCCACCTGAACGTCCCATTTCTCCAATTCCTAGGATACCTCTCACTGCTGGCAAAGGTGATGATACCCAGTCTGGGTGATCCACATGGGAAAACCAGTCCTTCCCAACTGCATTCAGGACCAAGCTTGGCTGTAGCCTCACTACCTCACAAGAACATCCATTCTGGATCAAACCCAAGATCTGTCTTGCCCAGGATCAGATTGGAAGGGAGAAACATAAGCAACAAAGCCTGAGTAGGAGAAGCTCTCTCATGGCTTAAGCCTGCTCCCTTTATCAATAGCCTAAAGGCTCCAGAACCAAAAGTCACTGAGGGGGAGTTAGCTTTACCTCTTATTAGTTTAATCATCTAAAAGTGAAACAAAGTCTCAATAGAGCCTGAGACAAGCTGAGGGGGAAGAGTGTCACAGTGACAGGAAGCGTAGCTGCAGCCAGCTCCAGCCTGCAGACAATTGTCAGCCAGACACCAAGGCAGATTTTCTCAACCCTTGCAGATCTTCCTTCCCTCCCAGCTTGGAGGCCTGGCCCTAGAATATCATGTCTCAACACTGTATCACAAAACTGCTGCATGACTGCCCCATCACAGCTCCCATTTTCTGAGCTAATGAAGGGCAGCAAGAACAGCTTGGACTTATGGCAAGGCACAAAAATCATTCAGTACATTCCTAATTCTATCACAGCATGTGCACAAGGCACACAGAGAACAGCCCAACTGCTCACTGAGCACGAGCTGGTTCACCCCACCAGAAGATCCTCACCTGTACAGCTTCAGGACTGCCTGGCCCAGGTTCCTAGGCCAAAAAATTCAACCCATTCCACTCCCTGCCTCAGCTTCGATCCCTCCCAAAAGGCAAAGGGGACCCAGGAGCAGTGTCCATGCTGTCAGGCCAAAAGCATCACAAACCTTGGGATGCTATGCAAGTAGAGGAGGAGGCGTACGAGCTCTGTGGTGTTGCAGTGGGGGTTCAGCCAGGCTGTGTTCCTTGTTGTTATTATGGCCACTGCTCGTCCCAATTTATCTCTGGTACCTGTAAAAAGAGGGAGGGGGGGAAAAAGTCACACAAGGAAGTCATCAGAGCCTGGTTCCAGGTGTATGCCTCATCTTCCCATACCACATCCCCATCACCTTCCTGCAAATACTCCTCAAGACTAAATACAATGCACGTTGCACACTGCAGTAGGCTATGAACACACCCCTGAAGTATCCAAACACTGTCCCTGAGTGGAGGAGCTGAACTCTGTTTGTCTTTCTCTCACAGAAGCATTAAACTTGGATCACTCTCTTCTACCGAATCATACATTCTGCATAAAATATGGCTAAAAACCCAGCCTTGTGAGAAAAGCAAGGATTTCACCAACTCGGGATAAAGAACCTCACCTCCACTTCTGCTACAGTACTCACCTTGCTGGCAGATAAGCGGATGCAGACAGGCTTGCAGTGAGAGTGGGCACACACCCTGCGGGATGAGCCTCACAGGGAACCAGACAGCTCCTCCTGGGAGCAAAGCCCTGGAGCAGGAGCCCAGAGCTGCTCCTCAGAGGCTACTCTGCAGCCTTGAGCTCTGCTCAGCCCAGCAGCACACTCTTGCTGCCCACTGCTCAGGCAAGGGCACAGTCGGTGCTGGGCTTTCAGTAGCCTCAGAGCTTGCTCCGTGCCAAGGGAATGGATAAATCACAGCATGGGCGAGTCAGCCAAGTTGTGGAACATGGAGGAAGGAGAAAAACCCCCTGCTTTGTTATCCAGGACAGCAGGTCTCTGCCTCTTCCTTTCAAAAAACCTAAAGAATCAGCTTATCACAGGAACTGAGCCTTATCTGAGCTTGCAAAAACTACATGATAATCTGGCTTTGGGTGTGCAAGAATCGTGCACCAAGAATCATGGAACCACAAAAGAATTTTGGTTGGAAGAGGTCTCTCAAGGTCACCTAAGTCCGCCCCCCTGCAGGGAGCAGGGACATCTGCAGCGAGAGCAGGTTGCTCAGAGCCCTGGCCAACCTCACCTGGAATGGTTCCAGGGATGGGGCACCCACCACCTCTTGGGGCAGCCTGGGCCACTGCACTCAGACCCCTGAAGAGAGGGCCATAACAGAGCCAGCTCCAGAATCACATCCAGCCTCCTCTCCAGATGTGAAGGAGAAGTGAAGAGCAGGTGGACTCACCATGTTGGGAGACCCAGCATTGCCTCCCCCGTACAAAAGCAGGCAGGACCTCAGGAGCCAGCCTGCACAAGCAACCACCCCAGCATGCTTGCATGTCACCAGGAATGTGAGTGATATGGAGAACCTATACCTCTATTGTGTGGACAGTCATGAGAACAGGAGCCATTTCCTGTCATACAAATTGTATGAGAGAGAGGGGAAAACAAAAAAAAAAAACTAGTACAAGGCAAAACCAGAGGCTTAGAGGAAGCTGTGTCTTTGTCTCCTCTGAACTTTATTGCTACCACAGGAGACACTGTCCTGGATCACCTCTCTCCCCATCCCAGGGACAAGTGTGTGAGTTGACAGGTAAAACAGCTACAGATGGACAGCCCCAAGCACAGAAAACTGCCCTGGTGTGATCACAACCTGTCCTAGGGATGGGACTTGAGTAAGGGCCATGGACACAGATGGGCATCGCTTAGATGCAGGGCTTCTTCCCTCCCAGGGACCTGAACTGGGACACAGGCTTTCTCCTGCCAACAGCAGGGACAAAAGCTTCTGTTGTCTGTGTCATTCACAAGGAGTTTTATTGCTCCTGAAATACTGTGTTCTGGACAATGTATAATCACAGTGCTGGAGAGGAATTAGAAAAGGCTTATTAATATATTTTGCTCATAAAGGGGATCATTATAAAATGAAATAAAAAGCAAAGCCCTCAATTACTGGAAAAATGGCTCAATAACCAGGCTCCATAAAAACTTTCTTACTCTGAAGCAACATCTTTTGTCCATCAGGGAGGGTGGGCATCACAAAACCTTGAGCTTCTCTATAGGGGTCTGGGAATTACCTGCCCAGGTACAAAAAGCAACCACGGCCGGGTCTCCACCAGGGGCACAACCAGACAATTCAAGAGCAGAAAGCACAAGTGAAACTCTCCTGAAAGGAAAATTTCTTCCCAATTCCATCAGCTACTAGTTTATTAATCAGCTCTTATTCACTATTCCTTATAAAATTTCTCCTTTCTCATGCAGTGATGATGTCACTACCAACACCTAGCATGAAGAGGTGTTTGCCTTGTTCAGTAGCTGTACTTTAGGACTCTGTGACAAAGGAAACAACCAGAGCATTAGATCACAGAGCCAGGCTCCTACAATGGACTATGAGCTTCTCTTACAGAATCCTCTCTCAAACCCTGTAATTTTTTGGCTGTTGTTCACACCCTAAAACCTCTAGCCTGACTAGCAGAGCAGCAGATTAGAAATCCTCCTCAGCAATTTGTTCTAACAGTTTACTGACCAATGCAAAGTTACCCATCTGAATCATAGACTCATTAAGGTTGGAAAAGACCTCTAAGATCACCAAGTCCACCCATCAACCCAGCACTACCATGGCCACTAAACCATGTCCCCAAGTACCATGTCCACACGGGTTTTTTTAACCCCTCCAGGGTTGGGGACTCCAGCACCTCCCTGGGCAGCTTGGGCCAAGGCCTCACCACTCTGGCAGGAAAGAAATTCTTCCTCATATCCAATCAAAACCTCCCCTGGCACAACTTCAGCCCATTATTTCTTTGTCCAACCGTTGGTTACTTGGGGAAGAGACCAATCCCCACCTCACTCCAGGCTCCTTTCAGGGAGTTGTGGAGAGCAAGGTCTCCCTTCAGCCTCCTCTTCTCCAGAATACATGACCCTAGTTCACATGTACCTTAACTGCTCTGCACTTGGTTTTTCATTCCACCCTTTTCCAGAAGCCTGGAGAAGTGTTCTTTCCCTTTCCTCCTTCCCTGCACAAAAGTGTTTCCACCTCGTTCCCCATCATGTTATGCCATAAAGAACCTCCCAGGCTATTGCCAGAAGACATCCAGTTCAGTTACCAGACAGGGCTGCCACCCTGGTCCACACCAGCTCCAGTATCCACCATCTCCTTTTAGAACAAAGACATCAAAACAGCCCAAACTATCCAAGAGGCTTCACCAACAAGTACTCGGAGATTTGTCTCCTGCAGAAGTTTTATCTGCAGCAGCTGGATGCTCGCTGCCCTATCAGATGCAAAGGCTGAACAATGTTTGTCCTACGGCTGCTCCCGGCAGAAGGGTTCTGGGAAGTTCCCTTGACAGCTGCTTGTCTCATCTGCTCCCGAGCTACACGCTATCGTTCACCACACACGTTGCTCATCCACACTTCATTTGGGTTATTCCTTTCACCACTATGTGTCAGGAAACCAAGGGATTTTGTGGCAAGGGAATTAGCGAAGGGATCATGCCCCTGGGCTGGGCACTGGGGAGGCCACAGCTTGAGTATCACAGCTTTGGGTACCACAGGATAAGAAAGACCTTGAGGGGCGGGAGCGGGTCCAGAGAAGGGCAACAAAGCCAGGGAGGGCTCTGGGGAACATGGCTTGTGAAGAGTGGCTGACGGACCTGGGGGTGTTTAGTCTGGAGAAGAGGAGGCTGAGGGGAGACCTTCTGGCTCTCAACAGCTCCCTGAAAGGAGGTTGGAGTGAGGTGATTGTTGGTCTCTTCTCCTACATAACCAGAGATAGAACAAGAGGAAATGGGCTTAAGTTGCACCAGGAGAGGCTTTAATTGGATCTTAGGAAGAATCTCTCCCCTGGCAGAGTGGTGAGGCCTTGGCCCAGGCTGCCCAGGGAGGTGCTGGAGTCCCCTTCCTTGGAGGGGTTCAAAAAACACTTGGGGACATCGTTTAGTGGTCACGGTAGTGTTGGGTGATGGCTGGACTTCATGATCTTAGACGTCTTTTTCCAACCTTAATGATTCTATGATCAAATGTTTTCTAAAAATCTATTAGATCTAGGCAGTGACATTTAATCAACCAAACTTCTAATTACAAGAATAAAACTGGTTTTACAAGAGCACTCTCCAATAGCACCTTCTACCCTCCTATCCTTTAATTATCTACCAAGTGAATCAAGCTCCTATTGTTTCACCCAGGTTTGATGTCAGGCCCACCAGCCCATCATTAGCTGCACCCTCACTCTTCTCTTTCTGAACTACTGGTACGAGCCCACAGATTTGGCATTTCTGACTCACGCTTACTTGCTTAACACCTTGAGACTCCTGGGAGTGAGTTAATGTGACTTTCTCATGAGGGAACTTCTGCTTCCTGTCCTTCCCATCCAGAAACTTTAGAGGAGTCAAGCAGCGTTGCTTTTGGAGAGGTTTGGGGTGAAAGCAATGGAACTGGCACCAGTGCACAGCACTGCTGACAGAGGTTCATCTCTCTTGCCCTCCTACAAGCTGGGCAGGATGTTCTGGCCCAGGTACTCACCGGGCAGGCAGGCGACTCCGCTCCGGAGCACTTCTGGGTTCACATCCTTGACGATGGTAGGTGCAGAGCGACCACCCCAGGCAGGCCCAGGAGCTGGGGACGCCGGGGGACTAACAGCTGCTGAGGTTTCCTCCAGGGCGCTGACTTTACTCACTGGTTTCAACCCATCTGCACCAGCTGCTTCTTCTCTCATCTCTGCTTCTTCTGCCACCATCCCTGCAAGAAAAGGCAAGGTCAGTAGCTCGAGCAGAGCTCCACCCAAAAGGTCCCTGGTAAGTCCCAGACTGGGGAGGGACGTGCCCCCAGCCCCAGCACTCTGCAGCTCCTCCAGTCCTCGTGACATTTGTATGCATGTTCCAAAGCTGGTTATTCTAAAAAAAAGAATTTATTGTGAAGTTTGCAAGTTACAAACCCTCAATTCAGACCAAGATTGCTGTAGTCCAAGGTATTTTCCAAGGGAACCTCTTGAGCAGTCCGTGTCTGCTCCCAGCCTGGAAGCCTGGCACGGTGCAAGTCCCTGGAGAAGCTCCAGCAGCTCGAGCATGCTGGAGGGATAAAGCAGCTCCTGATGGAGAGCTGCTTCATCAGAGCTCGCTTACTCCCCCAGCACCACTTTCAGATTAGCTCCTGAAAATATGAAGTCAGCTCAGTGCTGGCAAATCAGCTGGAAATTAGCCAAAAGAGACCTTGTTCTGCTCAGCCAGGCTTCTTTAATTAACAGTTCGTGTGGAAGTCAGAAAGTTACTTGAAAATTCTGAATAATAGGATGATCACAGCAATCAGCTCTGCCTGAGAACTAAAGAAAAATGCTTCTTTTTGCCCAACACCTCAGCTCTAAAGTACAGATTATCAGGTAATTCTAAAAGTAAGCATCTTAGCTACTACATGGAAACTAATGCTAGTTTTACCAAGTGTCAATTTTCATGTCAAAATAGCTGGAGAGTAGAAAAAAAAAAATATATACCTACTGTGTAAGAAGTATTATTCCCCATTTCCCAATATTATAAGAGTTCAAAGCCAACCATACATCTTCCACAACAAATGTTTAGCACGCTATGTGCACAGAAAGACACACTAGAGGCTCTACTTCGCTGTAAATACCAATACTTCAATATCTACCACCAAAAAAATCAGCCTTTCTCTAGGAAAAAAATCAAAGAGTGGAGTATTTATTCACTTGCTATGAAGTCAGACGTTTTAATTGCTATTTAAAATTTACTTCAACCATCCTGCCTTCCTGCTGCATCAACAATGCTGACACTTGACTCAGTTTGTTTACTAACAGATTCCAATACTTCATTAAAGAGCAGGACCAGGAACAAAGCAGTCCTTGAAGTGGCTTTCAGTACAAGTTTTAGCAGTGAGGGAGATTTACAGGTTGAGGCTCAGCCCAAACTGCTTTCAGAATTGCTCAAGTGGGTGAAAGAAGCGCCCTGAGCAGCATGGCTCACTGAGCAAAATTACCCGACGGTGGGGGGGGAAGGGAGGGCACTAGGAGGGGCTCCAGGGCTCTGCACCAGCAAGGCCAGGATGGAGTAGCTGCTCATTACTCTCTGGTAACACCCCTTCTGAAGGACCATCCCTGGGACCCAGCGCGGGAAGCTGCTGGGATGCCTTCAGGGCTCTGCACAGCTCTGGGACACATCAGGGCTCAGTTCTGGTCCTAGTTCTGCCTCAGCTTCTGCTTCTCAGCCTCATCTGCTTCTGACACAAGAGATTGTTCACTTTGGACAGTAATGCTAGATCTGCCTGAAGCAGCATTGATGGATGAACTTGATGATCTTAAAGTTTTTCCATGATTTTCGTGGGGCACTGCTCTCCTATAGATGGAGTATCTTGAAAACGATCACAGAGCGATAGAAGTTGTGCCCCAAAGGTTTCACATTAGGGTCTGACACACTTTCTAGGGGCACTAGGACATCTTCTGTTTGAATTCTGAACAGAATCACCTTCCCCAGGAGCTGTGAGAGCTGGCAAGCAGCAGGCCCACACAGTCGGTGGTAAAGGAACCCACATTACATGAAGAATGCCTGCAGAGAAGACCAAAAGCTGGCGTTTAAGGAAGACAAGAAAGGGAACACAGCAATATTGAAGGCACCACACCAGGGCAGGAGAAACACAAATATACACAGCAGCCCTGCCTTGGGTCTCTCTTAGGAATGAGGGAGCAGCTCCCAAAAACGAAGAGAGAATCCCTTTGCTCAGCCCACCAGACTGAGTCCTGGTACTGACGGGAATCTTGCTGGAGCTGTGCAGCCTCCAGACTCCTACACCTTGCCCAAACAAACCCCCTTCCTGCTCTGCTGGGGCCCGGAGCTGCCGAGCCCAGCTCTGCCCGAGGAGCCCCTGCACCCGGCTGGCATCTGCCGAAGCGGAAATGGTCCCAGGCGAAGCCTGACATCAAAAACCAAATGGAGAACCGGGAGGGGCCAATCTGCCGTGTTTGCAGGTTCCACCTTCCCCCGAGGCGAAGGAAGCAGCGGAGGAGGATTTGCTTGTGTGCATTTCAAAGAGACATTAGCATTTTTCCTCCGAGCCACCCGGTATCATCTCCGCCAACATCACGTGGTAACGGGGCACGGAACGCCCCAACAGGTGCTGCTGAATATGCCCCAGTTGTGGCTTTCCAGACCATTTCTTCTGTCAAAGTCTTTCCCAGACCCAAAACATAAGAATTCTTTCCAGAGCTACCAAGTTTCCAAATTCACTCTCACTTAAAGAGCAGTCACGTTAACAGCGAATGGAACCAGTGTGAATTTTAAGCCACCAACTCAAAACAGTTCACATTTGACTTTGAACCTAAGTTAGATCAGATTTATGCAGAAAATAAACTCCCTGGGAGTGGGAGGAAGGGGTGAGAGCTACAGGACAAGGAAAAATCTGCAGTCCCAGCCGGCACAGATGCCCCAGTTCTGTGTATTTGGACATCATCCACAGACTCTGCAGTAACCAGCAAGCTGCTCCACCTCACCCAGAGCAAATTGTGCCGCTGCCCACTGCGACCGAGGTGTGAACTGGCCCAGTAAGGCTTAAGCTGAGCTGTTATTTACGGTTTAGGCAATATACACACAGTTTCCAATCACAGGAGCAAAATTACCCCAGTTAGAGAAAATTTAACTTCTCTGCAGAGTTAAATTGACTGACTAAACTGGCTGGAAAAGTCCATTTGTTGGACTGAGTGTAGGACATTAGTTTCACTTTGTAATTTTATCCCTGAACTATCTTATTATTCCATCTCTGAGGGTTTCACAGGGCTAGATAAGGGGCTGGCTTGTTTGGATCTCAAAGCAATCAAAGGTAATTGAATTGACTGAGCTTATTATAGCTCCCGCTATAGTGTTTAAGAAGCACTCCCGGCATTAACAGATACTTGACCTGCCCTGTGCCTTCAAAGCCTTTGGCTCTTTGTTTTGTGGGGTTTCCTGGTGCTTTAGGTTGTTTCTTTTGCTTTACAAACTCTGAGGTAACAGGGGGTTTCAACTGCGATGTCAAAGTTTACCATCCTCAGAACTGGGCCACCAATGTAACCAATTTCAGCCAATCCCTAGAAACATTTAAATTGTCTTTAATTGAAAACAAACTCTGCAGATACCCCAGTGGGGTCCCTCACTGCTAAGATCGGCAGCATAGCCAAGGCTCATCCCGTGGAACGGCAAGAACATCACACTTCTTATCTCACACATGAGCTGGACCTGGCTAATTTTAGACAGAAGAGACAGGAACACTGAACCAGCAGCCACAGGGGTCATGAGGAAAGCACCAGCACTCACCAGTACACCCAGCACTCACCACAGCCGGGGTTTTCTGACGTCCAGTCCTGTGCAGACATGGAGTCAAGCCAGGCTCAGCTCAGCCAGGGGACTGGATCCCCACAGGAGGGTTACTTCCTGGCATACCTGCCCCCAAGAGCTACAGACAGGCAGGAGATGACCTTTTTGTTTTCTGCTCATGGTGGTAGACGCTCAGATAGACAAACACTTCAGAAAAGGGCTGAGCAAACCCCTCCATTTCACAGGAGAGAAATGCTTCTTGCTCCAGAAGTACCAGAATTACCATGGGCTTGTCTGCTTAGAGAATGAAAATATTTTGGTGCAGGTGTTAATAAAATTTCATTTTAATCAGCGGATGCTTTAGCTCCATTAGGAGGTCACGCTGAGGCACCAGGTAAAATGTGGCTTTGGGACACCTGAGGGAGCAGCTGTGGCTGCAGCCAAACACAGTGCTCATGCAGGCTCTTACCCACAGAGTTCAGGACCAGAACAAGTGCCAAGGCGACCAGCTCTCAATCCGTTCCTCTGCAGGGTCAGAACGCTCTGGCAATGTGGCTCTGTATCTCCAAGCCTTTCAGGAGCCCTCACACCCCCTTCCAAGACAGGTAATTTTCCTCGCCAGGGGTCTCGGGGAGCGAGAGCTGCCGAACTGGAATGGCACGTTCCAGCCGCCCCCGCCACACGCTCGCTCCTCCTCAACGGCAGCTGCCGATCCACCACCCGGCCTTCCAACCCAGACCCGGCAGCGCTCGGCAGAGCCAGCGCCGCAGCCCTGCAGAAGGCAGAGAGACCTGCACTGCTCCTCCAATTTCTGCTGGAACCCAGCCCTCAAGAAGACCAGGCAATACCTGCTCAAAGTTGGAGCTTGATGCTTCGTTTCTCTGTGCTCCCCCACTCAAGTTCAACAGCTCCTACTTCAAGCAAGGTGCAGAAAGCGTGCCAGAGGAGAAGGGAGGGAAGAGGGGGGAGCCCTTCAACTCTTCACGTCACCTCACGCAGCCAGTATTTTAGTGTGGCATTCACTATCTTCCTAAAGCCCATTTTCAACTCTGAAGGAGTTGAATAGTTACAACTGCCTCCTCACACGTTCCTCCTGCACACCATAATGTGCACGCTGTGAATAGAACGGATGGAGGTCACCAGCAATCAGATCCACCGAAATTAAATGTCTCCTGCCAAGGAACTTTGTTCTGTACTAAAGAACTATTGAACAAAACATCTACAACAAACCCACCTGTGAAGAGACCGCTTATTTCAAGCCACAAAAAAAAAGGACAACTTGATCACTTCCTGTAGCTTGTGCTACTGCCCCAGAGCCTCCCAGCAAAGGTACCTGTCAGCAGTACCTCTTGAGGACTTGGGTTTTGATCCACGTTACCAACCAGATGACCACACAAACACCCAACTGCTGTACCTTTAGGAGACAAGGCCCCAGAAGCTGCCTCTTGGTGGGGGTGCAGAGTGGTAGGCCCCTCAGCAGGTCCTGAAGACAGTGGTCCAATCTCCAGTTCCTCTTCAATGGATTCCAGTGTTTTTAAGGCTATAGTCTTTGACTTCTCCCCACAAGAAAAACTTCCCTGGTTCTCCTCCCCTCCCTGCAAGTCCTGTGCTATGACACACTCTGGGTTCAGCACAGAGTTCTCTTCGCTTTTACCGTCACGGTTTTCCACTCGTCTTTGTGTGTCCTCCTCACACCTCTCTCCAGACCTCTGGGTTCTGAACTGGCTTGAGCCTTCTGCTTGTACCTCAGGGCCCATCAAAGAGTCACTGTTATTTAGTTGTTCGGATGTCTGCTCACTCCCTGACACAACAGCTGGGAGAAGTGTAGCTTCTTCAGCTTTCTTAGGCTGACAGGCAGAGACCTCTTGCTCTTCACCATCTGACAAGAGTCCATCTGCAGGAGTTTTGACAGAACAGTGACTATGACTAGTCTGATTCTCATCTACAGTCAATATTTGTTCACCTTCTCGGACTTCCTCTGGGCTGTCCCCTCTTCCCCACTCAATTTCATCTACTTCTTGGTTCTGTTCTGGAGGATTGAACATAGAACTAAGATCTGCTTCCTGATCGCTGCAGGAAGCACCAACTGCTCCGATGTGTGCCGTGTTCCCAGGAGGAGGAGAGCCTCTCTCCACACCGACAGCCGCTCTCCCAGGCATCAGAAGCGACAAAGTGGCCTGGATTGGCACAACACTTGCACTGACACTCTGGCTAGAAACATCAGAACCTTCCTTCAGTGTGCTGTGTGGCCCCAAAGGCCCTTGGGCAGGCACAGGACAGGCATCCACCTGTGTCTCCTCATCTTGACCCTCAGTCAGGGGCTCTCCACATACTCTTGGTATCACCTCTTCTTTAGCAGCAGGAGCACCTAGAATTGGCTCTGGGCTCTGCTCCGACATTTCAGCATCAGGATTTCTGCCGGGACCATCGCTTTCTCCTTCCAGTTTTCCAGGAGCACCAGGCATTTGAGCTCTGAACTTGACACCATCCCCAGCACAGGCCTCGGCACAGCTGCGCAGCGCGTACTGCCAGTCGATGGGGCGTTCGCTGTGGGGCTCCTGCTCTGCAGATGAATCTTCTGCACTGCAGGCAGGGGACTCGGCCGCAGGAAAGCTATTCCCCATGGTTCCAGGACCACCTGCTATCAGCTGACCTTCTGGAGACAGCTCTCCACGTACCATCGCTTTGCTGCTTTCCACAGGAATGACATTTTGGAGAACTTCTGCAGAAGTCCTCAGCGTGTCCATTTGACAGTGCTCCTTCTGTGTAAGTGCTGACTGAATTAAGTTCTTGGAGTAGGTGCTGTCTTGAATGACAATAAACCTGTGCTTGTCTTTAGAGGCATTCACTCGCGTCCTGGGCTGAGTTAGATAGTTTAAAGCTAGTGACTGGGTTAAAGAGCCCGTCTGTGGCCCAAACCTGGGCAATGAAACTTCTGTCAGTTCTACGTACTCCCCTTCCAGGTCACTTTTCAGGTCCTCTTGAGGCACAGGAATTGTACAGACACCATTGACAAGAGCTTCACTGAGCTGCGGAGCTATGCTGCTAACGACCAGGTCGTCTCTAGTTGGACTTTGTTCCTGTAGACACTGAGATCCTAGGTCTGACAAACTGCACTCGGCATGGTCCATGGGGAGGCACAAAACTGAGCGTTCCTCTGTTACTTCTGGAGAGGTGATGTCGTTTTCAATTATTTTTGGTTTATTTATAAATTCAGGATTAACCACTTTATCCCAGGGGACACGAAATATTTTATCATCAGTGGTTAGTAAACAATTTTTCAGTGCTATACCCATCCGCTCGCCATTGAAAGTACTCAACCATTCCAGGGTGAAAATAGAGGTATAGGAAACTTCTGGAATCACGACTTCCTCTACATTATGCTTGTCTTTTGCCAAACATTTCAATACAATTCGTGGAGACTTCTTCAGATAGGGGACCACCTGCAGGTAGAAGTCACCAGGCTTCAAGATTCGCCAGTCCAGGGAGGCCAGCTGGACTACAATCTTCTCGTGGATGCACAGGGGCCAGCCCTCGTGGCGGAACAGCAAGCCACAGTACTGGACCTAGGGAGAGAGGAGAAAGTGTTTTCAGCATCAGGAACAGATCTCAGCTCAAGAAGATCACTGCTTCTCATTCCCAGCTGGAGCAACAGAAAGCTGAACTGAGCGTCTTTGGTAATTCGGGGTTGGGGGTGTCCCTACTGAGGTCTTCTCTTTAAAGAGGCAGAAACAGGAAAAGCTACTACACAATCACCAGAATCTCAGTCTGAATATGAACCCACCAGCTGCCAGACGTCTCAGCCCTGTTTTAAAGTTGGGTCAGCAAAGACAGACAGGCAGAGGTTTAAGTCCCAGAACCCAAGCGTAAAGAAATCAGGAGCTGTCTCCTCCCAGTGCTCAAGCTGGGAGACCCCACCTCTACCTCATTTCTGACCCATTAGGACCAAGTGGATTAAGAAAGTGAGAACTCAGACTGACCAGCAACTGCCATTAGAGAAGCAGCCTGCTTACAGCACATGGACAAAGCCCACCATCCTCAACTGGGGACCATCCACAGCCTTAAGAGAGAAGGTGGTAAATAAACAAGGCATCATTTCCAGAGGCTCCGCAGCGAGCTCTGGGCGGTACCAGACACACTTGACAGCACCCTGCCAGAAGGAGGCTGTGGGTGCACAAACCTCATTGAACAGGATGCAAAACGTCCTCTCTGGTGAAGCAGCATTGGGTCTTCAGACTGAGGTCTGCTGGAAGGGAGGTAATGAAAAGCTTTGCTGATGAGAGAAGGCAGAATGAAAACAGCAAGGTCTGTCCAAGGACTTGTTTTTCTTCCCTAATGTGCTCTGCTGGAGTATGAAGTGTGTTCCACCCCATTGTGGATAAGCCAAATTGAAGAGCATAGAGCATCACTCATCTGGTGCTAGCAAGAGCCTACACAAGGCAGGTGGAGACAAGTTACGTGGGTTGCAGTAGCAAGGGATGGCTGCAACCTGCCACCAAACAGAACAGAAGGAGATCCTGAGAAGACAAAGCAGGAGAAAGGAAGCAGCAAACGAGGAAAGTGTAGCAGGACCACAAAGAAGGCAGGAACTATCCTGAGCATACCAGGGATTTCCTCATTCCCAAACCATCACAGCTTTCAGGATAAGCCTCAGACAAAACCCAACCAAGTAAAAGCTGAAGTTTCACGGCTGAGCTGACTTGACTCTATTTACAGCTTTATCACAAATTCAGAAAATGAAATCCCTGCTTTGAACTTGATTCTGTTTGGGCAAAGTGAGATTTAAATTGAGCCATGATATAAGGCATCAGTTTAATGATTGATTTCATCCCTCTCTGTCATGACAAGGGTTTTGAGACAGTTCACCTGTATTGGATTCAACCCTTAAATTAGAAACCTGTCATCCTGGAGCCCAAAAATGTTAAAATTGGCAGCAATTAGTCCTCAGAGTTTTTATGTTGTGTCTCTTCCATAGTCACATGGAAGTCTTGACAGAGAAGGCAGTTTATAAAAATGCGGTGTTCCCAAGGAAAAAGAAAAAAAACCCAGCACTTTAATTCAAATATTTTGCCACACAGCAGAGAAGGCACAGAACTGGAAGGAACCTCCTAGACCACCACATGCCTTGGAACAACAGGTAATGGCATCAAGTAAACTCCTTCCTACATTCACCAAGCTTTACCCTCAGCCCAGCCAGGTGTCTTTTCCTCACTGCACCTGATGCAAAGTCGCTCAGAGGCTTGAAAGCTCAAATCATCCTTCAGACTCAATAATGTTTCCTTCTCAACCCTGGAGCTCATTCTCTGGATGTGCTTCCATTGCTTAAAATTATTAAGCTGCACCACATCACTGTAGTATGGCTCCCTCGCTCATCCTTTAGGCCTGCCTGAAGCACCTCCTTAGTGATGCCTTTTTATTTTTTAAAGTACACATTTCTTTGTTCCCCTTTTTCATTGTGCAAAGGGCCACGTATAATGGCACCAACACTTCCCAATGGTGCTGGAAGCATCTCTTAAAGCTAAGATCACTCTTGTCTTCCAGCCTTGCTCCTGTGGTAACCTGTCACCAAACTCCTGAGATCGAGTTCCCAACTGAAATTCTGCCTGTGACTTTGTGGAGGTGCACGCTTGCCCTCTGAGCCTACTGTTAGAAAAATCTAAGTACAAAGTTTTACAGCTCATCTTTTGCGAGACATGTATCGCCCTCCTCCCCACGTCTCCCAGACCAGTTTCATCACAAGCATCTGTCCTATCCATGATCTTATTTTTCATGCCAAGGTCCTGGATGAGGAGCAACATGTGCCTCATGACTCCTGCCTCCAATTCAGTGTCCCCTGCAGCACCAACACCCTCCCTCTCACCAGCTTGTTAACCACCTTGCGATACATCCACAAACCTCCATCCCTTTGACACCATAATTAATTTTCCATATGACTCCCTAATAAATCCTTTACAGAAGGGCTTAGACATGGAACCTCTCCTCTCTAGAGAGGGCTGGTTTATGAAAAACACTAGTCTTACACCACCTGCCATGGAGCAGAGCACATGAGAAAGCATTATTCCCTTTGTCATGGGTCGGTTAATCCTGTCCTTGCTCAGTGCCTGTTGTTGTACGCTCAGCTTGTTCTCTGTATTTTGTTACTAGCCCTGACTTAACAGATTGAATAAAAATCCCTGTTATCAGACATTTGCCATGACATGGTAACTTCTCCCATATTCCAGGATGGAGACTGGCCAGTTCCTTTCCTCACCGTAGTCTGTTCCACACCCATTTCAGGCACGGCAGTTTTAGTTCTGTTCACTCAGTGCAACCGCCTCACTCTTGTACCCACATCTTGGATCACTACGAAACTGAGTTGTACTTCAGTTTCATTTGTTTGAAGGATCATATTAATATTAGTTTTACAGTCTAAGCTTTACACTCTAAGCTTGAACTCAGAGCAGACCCACCTCCCTTTTTTTTGTTTACTATTAAGTTAGAGTTAAAAAGCCCTATGACCTAACACAGAGTCACTTGTACTCTCCTCAGAGTCACCAGAAACTAAGCTTTGGGGTCTTACACTCTTACTCTTTCTGAGCTCCAGGACACAGATGCCACTACCATCCAGTTCCTTTCTTACACAGCAGAGCTAAACTCAGCAGCCCAAGAGCTCCTCTCGCACCACACAGTTTGCAGAAGTTACTTCAGCAAGTCTCAGGCTGTAGGAACGTCACGGACTTTTCCACCAAGCTCAGCACTCAGGCAGCACCTCCGTCAATAGAGCTTCTATCTCCTGCAAAACCGGCCCAGCCCAGTATTTTGTCCATAAGGCCTTAAACAAAACCAAGTAACAGTTTTCCAGAAGAGACTGCGCAACTGCCACCCTGCATCACACCATTGCTTCTTCTGCCATTAGAAGGTGTCTTAGTAGGTACACCAAGACCATTGGTACCAAGGGCCTTTTGTAGGAAAACAAAAATAAATCAGTTCCCAAACTGTTATAAATAGCTTCTATGAGTGAAAAGTGAGAGACTCAGTCGGCAGTAGCATAAACACAAAGCTGAAGTCCACCTGCACCTACCCAGTGCAGTTTCTGTTAAAACCCAGATGCAGGGTAACCTCTTTGGGGGTGATTCATACAATAATAAATCTCAAACCCAGCCTCACCACTTAGATGACCCGTCTGCCTACGGACAAGTGGAAGAAAACTCAGCAATAAAAGCACCCAAGACAAAATGCAGAATGCACTGAAGTTCCAAAAAATAACCCTACAAAGCCACAGTCTGAAGTGCAGCAAGAGCTAAGGTCCAAGCAGAAACGTAAGTCCTTCGGTAGCCAAAACATTTCAGAGTTTTAGAACTTCAGAAGTTGAACATCCTCCTGTTGCTCCTGCTCCAATAAGCACCTTCAATTCAACTGTTTTAACATCGCATTTTAAGGCTCAAGTATTTGTTCTTCTTATGTCTTACTGTGTGACCCCTTGGCACACCCCTCCATACACACCCCTCCAGCCCCTGGGACCACATACAAGCTATAGATTTTAATACACCCAGCTGAAGCCCATGAACTTGTCAAATACTTCATGAAGCCACTTACACTTTTGTCACTGCAGAAGCTGAGAAAAAGATTTAGCACTCTCAAGTTTTCCTACTGTAGCTATTCAGACAGGAGTTACCTTTCCCCCCCCCTTAGGAAAAGCTCACATGGACCAGCTGAACTGCACACTAAGGAGGAAACATTGCTTTTGTTTAGACCCTCTAAAAGGCAGACAAAACTTTTAAAGAACAAGTAACAAGAAATAGACCTGTGATTTCAGACAGTGAGGACAAAAGAAGGTGCTCACAACAAATGAGAAAAATACCTTTTAGCAATAAAAATTCAAACAGGACTTATTGAAAAAAAATATGGAATTGCCTAGGCCCACCTCTAAAGATGGTGCAAGGTGCTCAGAGCTTCCTTTGATCTCCCTGTATTGCAGCTCTCAAAAGTACCTAATCCTGAAGCAGGGGCAGAAGGGGTCCCCAGGCAGGAGGAAGGGCTCAAGGCATCCAGCAGTGCTCTCCGAGAGCCCTGTGCCTGCACTCTCCCAGCCATGCCACTCCTCAGCACTCCGACACCAAACGCCGAGCCCTGGGTAGGCCTCGCCGGAGGCAGCTGCCCCACCATCCCCACACCTTGTGGCCACTGGGCAGGACAGGGAGGGCCAGGCAGCCCTCAAAGCCCTCCCCATTCACTCCTGGGCCTGTGGCAGGAGGGTGGCTCCAAGCACAGCGCCTACCCTCGCCCCGCTTCTCCACACGGAGCTGCCTGTGCAGGACACCCCAACCATGCTAGCCAACCCCTCCAACAGAGCACCTCGGCCACCAGCAGCCCCCTTGCCTCCATGTCACCCGGGCCAGCCTGGGGGGCTGCCAGCACCCTGAGCCCCTCCAGGGCCACCCTTACCTCTCGCACTTCAGGGCCCCCCAGAGTCCATGACCCTCACACCTCTCCCACCACAGGACCCACCGGGGCCCAGAACCCTCGCACCTCTCCTGGCCAGGACCCCCCAGGTCCCACCACTCTCCCACCTCAGGGCCCCCCCCG